GAGGGGACAACTTTGGAGTTCTGTATACAATAAACCCCTCAGTCTGGTGACTTCTCTTTTCCTGCAACAGGCGATTCAGCCTGATGATTGTAGCGCTCTGAGTACACACTCCGCTTAGACGTTACAGCCCGAGTCCTGGCCTGGTACATTCAGTGGGAACTAAGTCACCTGTGACCCGCGTCAGTTTTGTCGATCGCTGCGTCCGCTCGTCTTGACATCGAGGTAATCTAGGTGAGTGAGGGGGAAGTGCGGTAGATGCTGCGAAATTTGCCTAGCAGTAAACTAATTCACGCGCAGGTAAACAAAGTGGGACCCACCTCTTGGAACAGAGGTGGAGGTTGTCGTTTGCCACGGTCGGACAGTCGCTACTCGGAGGGCAAACTGCGGATTTATCCTTCTTTGTCATCCAAGTTTTCCAGTTGCTGACGACATGCCCGACCGAGGGACTTCAGAGCAATGGAGTGGATGACGCTCCAGAGTTTCCGCAATTGCGTCTCAGCATTTCTATTTGCCTTCGTAACTTGCATTTGTTTTAGACGGAGATTCGAGCAATTGTTAGTGTTCAATTGGTGTTCGGCAGTATCTAGTAATACAGCATTTAATATGCCTAGTAGTTACTTACTTTGCGGTCGCCTGAAGTTCTATAGTCTCATCCTGGAGACGAGTCGGTGGACCGTACAGTAGTCGGCACCGCACATTGCCGTAGTCACTAGCACGTCACTTTGGTCACGCCATCGAGTGAGGACTAGGGTAGCAGCTTCCCGTGACGTGAGTGAGGGTGCACCCACGTCGTCTTTTCCCGTACGGAAGGTTTGTCAGGAGAAAACTGTGTTCCATGCAAGCCTGCAGAAGAATAAGGAGAAGCCCTTGTTGTTGCAGCTACCGACCCCGTGGCGAGCTAGCATCCCCGTCCAGGTAGCGTGATTTGTGCCTTTGCGGGCTTTGCAGTTACAAGAAAAAATTTATTTCTTTCGGTCCTTGTAGCTTCTCTGAGACGAGGGTCGAATGAGTTAGGCATAGGCGATCTTCTTTCTTCAGATAACAAAAGTGTAATTAAAGTTTTGACAAGTAACCACTCTGTTCAGTGCGTCGTGTGCAAATATGAGTGGTCCACGAAGAAAACTTACTGCGGCGCTCCTAAGTTGCTTGAAGTCGGGAACATGGCTATAGAGATTACAATAGATGGGCTAACTCATGAAATGTCCACCGAAATTCCGAAATGCGTTTTCGTTTCGAAAAGACTAATTAAGTAAGGTCGTAAAACCAGTCAGCCTGTAACATAATTATATAGTAATTCAGTTAGGACAGGATGCCTGCTTTCGAATGAACTTCCTTTCGGCTGCATGCAACAACTACACTTTGTAAAAAACGACTACTTGAGTAAGACGACATTTTCCCAATGATTTTCGATGCCCCTAAAAGTACAATTATATTTCATGGAAAACATGCATAAAAATATTCATTCTTCCTCTCATTCGGTAGAAAATTACGTCTTCTTTCAATTTTATACTCGAAGGAAGGACATAATTAAGTTTTAAAAAGTCTATAATTGTGGGACTTTTAATTACCGTGAAATGGCCGTTCATAAATCGTCATGTCTCTGCATTTACCAATGTGACTTGTAAAGTTAACACTATGAACCAAATTTACTGCGAAATTTTATGAACCCTATATGGTCTCCCTTTATTTCCGTAGAGAAATGTGTGCTTTTCCGTACGCGTAAAATATACAGCTTGTAGTTTGGAAACCTGAACCCAAGTGTAACGGTAGAGCGGGTTCAAAATTATTCGGGAATCGGAAAAGGCTTGGAAAACCGAATTATACCATTCCTTCGAATATAAGATTGGAAGCGGACGTAATTTTCTACCAAATGAGCAAAGAGATGAATATTTTTTGCATGCTTTCCATGAAATATAATTGGACATTAAGGGGCATCGAAAATCAATGAGAAAAATTCCTGCTAATTAAGTAGTCATTTTTACGGAGTGCATTTTTTGCATGCAGCCGGAAGGAAGTTCAGTCAAAAGCCGGTATCCTGAGGTCATGGAGATATTATAGAATTATGTTGCAGGCTGACTAGTTTAACAACCCTAGTTAATTAATCTTTTCAAAAGGAAAACGCATTTCGGAATTTCGATTGACATTTCATGAGTTAGCCCACCTACTGTATGTGCATTTTGAAATAAAATATCTTCAAAGCACGTGAAATACAGGCCCACTCCAGGCCGAAACGTGTTCACAGGACCCAAGCACTTCATATATTAAAGAAAGTAGATTGTTAAGCGAATGTGGATTTCTGTCGGTAGGGGGTTTCTTGAATAAGGTGAATTGGCAGAGCCGGACTAGTGGCTTCACCACCTCGTTCGTTAGAATAGTACTTTTCCGGGGGGATGTCAAAATGGTTGTAAATTCAATAAAATTACGTTTTTTGAATGACCTTAAGGTCAGGGACAAAAGTAAAATCCATTAAACTAGTAGCAACTGAAGAAATTTTCCAATCCGTTGGGTGTCAGTTTATGAAATGTCAAAGAGGTCGGAAGTTATACCGAAGACTAAAAATTAATCAACACTGCTTAGAAAGCATTGATGCGCACATTTGAGATGCAGTCTGCTGTGTAATTTCATCACATGTGTCTTTAAAGTTACTACAATTTCCAGGCGCTTTCTGTATTATACCCATTCGGTACCGTTCACTTTGATCGGGGTAAGTGATTATCTCCAAGCACGACCAAGTTACACTACGTTACATTACAAAGAATGCAGTGAGCGCCAATAAGGTTGTTCATGAAACACGAAATAATTAACTCGGTCGAACTGTTCTGGCATAAGAGTACATTTCCGCCGGGGCCAAGTGGAGTCGAAGTCGGGCTTGGTCTCAGTGCGAGGACTGCACGTAATAAGTCAACGGATGAATTCCGATGATTCCCAAAAGAACATGATACAATTAGAAAGTTGAAGACCCATCGGAATAGCACTTCGTGTGTCTCTAGTCACCGCTTCTGGGCACATGTTTAGTTAAAGGGCAGCTTGCTGCAAAAGACTGAGGCTGAATTAATACACGTTCATCAAATATGCATTGCGTGAACGGAGGACATTTTAGGGGTAAAACT